GCCCAGAGATGAGGGGAAGGTTTTTAGCCCAGAGATGTGGAGAGGGGAAGGTTTTTAGCCCAGAGGACGTAGAGAAGGGAAAGTTTCTAGCCCAGGGGACATGGAGAAGGGAAGGATTTTAGCCCAGAGATGTGGAGAAGGATTTTAGCCCGGAGGATGTGGAGAGGGGAAGGATTTTAGCCCAGAGGACGTGGAGAAGAGAAAGTTTCTAGCCCAGGGGATGTGGAGAAGGGAAGGTTTTTAGCCCAGAGGATAAGGAGAAGGGGACGTAGAGAAGGGAAAGTTTCTAGCCCAGGGGACATGGAGAAGGGAAGGATTTTAGCCCAGAGATGTGGAGAAGGATTTTAGCCCGGAGGATGTGGAGAGGGGAAGGATTTTAGCCCAGAGGACGTGGAGAAGAGAAAGTTTCTAGCCCAGGGGATGTGGAGAAGGGAAGGTTTTTAGCCCAGAGGATAAGGAGAAGGGAATGATTTTAGCCCAGAGGACAAAGAGAAAGGAAGATTTTTAGCCCAGAGGATGGGGAGAAGGGAAGGATTTTAACCCAGAGATGTGGAGAAGGGAAGGTTTTTAACCCAGAGATGTGGAGAAGGGAAGGATTTTAGCCCAGAGGATGTGGAGAGCAGCACTATCTGTGGAGCAGCCTGTGCTGGAACACGTGGAGAAAGCTTTGCTCGTACCCAGTGGAGTGAAGAGGGATCTTAATGGCACATTAAAACCTTGCAAGAAGCAATATTAACACACATTAAACATTCAAGCAAACCCAGGTCAGAGCTGGGCTAGGCAGGAAAGCAGTTTGCCCATGGCACCTCCCTCCTTACCCTAGTTCCTGCCTCTTATGTAAGAGCACTTTTGGCACTGCCCATGTTTCTGTTTGGGTGAGAGCCACGAGGAACACACTGAGGTTTGCTCACTGAGGGTCTCTCTGAGCAGAGAATCTGCTCACCCCCATCCCAGTGCTGAGCCACAGGCTCCAGGAACACTGAGGTCCTGTAGCAGCTCCAGAAATTCCCTCTAGGCTGCCCAACTCATGGAATGATTCCAGAGCTGCCTTCATCCAGCTGGAAGGAAACAAACCTGCAGCAAGACTTTTCCATTAGGCACTGGCACAGATCACGGGCTGAGCCACTGCTGCTGACAAGACACAGCTCAGGGTGCCACGTGTGTGTGTGTGTGAGCACTCAGTGTGCCCTGACACACCATTCCCAGAGCCTGGCACCATCCCTCACCTCATCTGCCAGGAATCCAGCCCAGTGCTCACCTGTACACTCTGGGCTGGTGCCAGTCCACGTCCCATTCACCGTGCAGTGCCTGCTCAGCACTCCTGTGGAGTAATAGCCTTCCCTGCACTGGTAAATGATGGAGCTGGAGAACACCAAGCCATCGTTGAAGATGACTCTGGCATTGCTGGGGGTTCCTGGGTTTCCACAGGATATAACTGGAAAGCAGAAAGGCCAAGTTAGAATAACCCCTAAACCCAAAGGTTTCACTCTGCAGTTGCCTGTTCTCAATACAAGTAAGATTAGCTGCAGAGCTGCTGGGTCAGCTCCAAAGGAATGGGCTGTTCCATGGAAAATCAGCCCAACAGGATCCTCAAACCCTCTCCCCAGCTCAGAGCAGGGCTCTGCCTTGCCAAGGACCTGCATCCCAGTCAGGGCACTGGAAAACACTCTGTGCCTGCATCCCAGTCAGGGCACTGGAAAACACTCTGCCCCTGCATCCCAGTCAGGGCCCTGAAAAACACTCTGTACCTGCATCCCAGTCAGAGCACTGAAAAATACTCTGTCTCTGCATCCCAGTCAGGGCACTGGAAAACATTCTGTCCCAGCATCCAGATTCAGGATCTCCTTCCTGTCCCAGGCAGATCCTGGGAGCATCTTCCTCTTCCTGCTCCTCCAGGACTTGTGCCCATTTATTGCAGGGCCTTATCCTGCACTAATCCATCCCACGGCCCTACAGCTCAACAAAGCAGGTGGTGCCAAGCCTGGAGTCCCATCACCTTCCAGGGCCTTAGGAGCACCGAGCTGAGTGTGTCACTTCACCTCTGGCCCCTCAGGGATCCCAAAATATCCTGAGGGACCCACGAGGATCTTTGAGTCCAACTCAGGGATGTCACCAGCTTTGCAGAACTCAGAGGCAGGAAAGCAGCCCAAGATCCTGATGAGCTCCCACTGTAGCACTTTCCCTGCCCAGCCACGTCCAATTATCCTTTCAGAGGAGGAGAATATTGTGGGAATACAATTACAGGGTTGTCAGTGCCCAAGTTTTATGTCTAAAGTGGCTCAGCATCCCAGGAACAAAGAGAGAGTGAAGGGTGGAGCACAGAGCCCTGTCAGGCTTAAATAAACACCTGCAGTAATTGCCCCAAGGCCTCACTGGCTCTGAAATTACAACACCTCAGAGAAAAATCACATGAATCAAGGAAAGGCTTAAACCACAAACCTTTGACAAGAAAATGCCTTGTTCCCTCCTTCCTCCTTCCCCCAGCAACACACACCACAACCCCTGGGAGAGCATCAGGCTGTGCCCAGCCAAGGTGACCCATCCTGGACCCTCCTTGGATCACACATCCCAATTTTTCTCATGGGGAAACACAACTGGAGCAGGAAAGCAATGAGCACAGCCCACCAGCCACTGGGAGAGGCTAAATACTCACAGATGACCCAGAAGGACAAGTGGCAATGGTTTAATGGCAGTGAGGAGCAGCTGTGAAGTGTAAGGATGAAAGGAGTGAACATCTGAAATAGCTGTTGAAATATAAATAGGCTCTAACCATGGATGGGGTAAATAATCCCCTTTGGTTGGAAGGGTGAAGTGGGTTAGGCCCTCCAAAAATTGGTTTCTGAGGAACTGGGTGTGCTCCTCAAGAAGGGACAGTGGGACCTTGGTGTCTGCCTGGAGCCCTGATGAGAACCAGAGCTGATCCCCAGGATCTCATCCTGGCAGGGGAATCTGGGAAGTGCCTTTGCTATGGAAACATCACAATGCTCAGAGCTGCTCCAGAGCTCAGCAATAATTGATTTGGTTCCAATCCACACATCCTTTTGCTGGAAAGCTTGAGATTCCCCCTTGCCTTCCCTTTGCTGTTTCCTGCATGTTTTAGAGCCAGCAGCTGCTGGGAGAAGGGAATTTCTCTCTGGCTTCTGCTCAGTGATGCTCAGAGCGTGGTCAGCCAAGGACACTGAGCTGGCCCAGCAGCATCCAGGGCAACATCACCCAGAGCAGGGCAAGGAGCAAGTGCTGTTACTCAACAAACACTGGAATTTCCTCTCCCCCTGCCCAGCAAACACCCCCTGGACCCAAGGAGAGAGAAAAGCTTGCAGGGAGCAGCAGCTCCTCAGGCTCTGCAGTTGATGCCACCAGTGCCTGTCACTGAGCTGCTGTGTGACCACTGTGTCCTCTGCATGTTCCCCCTGCTCTGACCTCCTCTTTACAACCCTCAGTTCCTCTCCTGGGCTCTGCTGCCAGCCAAACCCTCTCCTAATGCTGCCTGACACATCAGCACAAGCTCCTGCTGGAAGAAGGAGACAGAGCTAAGGGTTTTGTGGAGTCTCAAAGCCTTTGCTGCTCCAGGGCTGGTGATTTCTGTGCTGGCTAATTGAAGCTGTAACCCAGAACCCACCCAGCTCTGCAGGGAGGGGGGGGATAGAGCAGTCTAGAGCTGAATCCCAGCCCTGTCACCTCCCATGTCCTCAGCAGTCAAACCAGGAGACAAAACTCTGTTCCTTTTCCCACCACAAATAAACTCATCTCTCTCTGCTGAAACTGCCAAAGAGCAGCCAGAGCCTTATCTCACTCTGGATGTGGTTTCAGTTCACTTGGAGGCACAATAAATACTGTAAAAGCAAATATTCTGCTCAGTTTCTAAGAGGAGGAGGAGGAGGAGAACAAGTGCTGAGCCCCCTGCTGCCTCACTCCTTGGTGAACACAGCCAGGGAATGGGGTAGGAGGAGAAAGGAGAACAAAAGCATCGAAAATTACATTTACACTTGAAAATTTGCAGGAAATTAAAGCTCAATGAGGCCTGAAATGTGCCATTTTAGAGAGGCAGAGAAGCTGCTCTTGCTGGGGACAGCAAAACCTTGGAGAAGCTTCTCTACAAGAAGCTCCTTGGAGAGGCCAAACTCTGCTGTCCTGAAGCTCAGGGCAGTGATCTTGCTGTGCACCTTCCTCACCACCCTGAGGATCTCAAACTCCACCATCTCTTGGTCACTACAGCCAAGGCTACCTTAGAGCACCACATTCCTCACCAGTTGGGGAGCACAAGGTCCAGCACAGCTCGTCTCCTTGTTGGTTCCTCTATCTTCTGTGGAAGGAAGTTCTCATGAACACATTTAAGGAACCTCTGGGATTGCTTATGCACTGATATTGCTCCTCCAGCAGATTTTGGGGTGACTGAAATCCCCCATGAGGACCAGGACTTGTGAGCTTGAGGCTGATTGTCTATAGATGCCTTCATCCCCACCCTCCTCCTGGTCAGAAGGTCTGTGAGAGATCCCACTACAACATCTCCTGCTCCAACCCTTGACCCACAGACTCTTGTGGAACTCCTCATCCATCCCTACGTTGAGCTCCACACTTCCCAGTTGATCATTGCCATAGAGGTCTCCTCCTTTCCACCTCTAACTGCCCTGAATTCACCCCAAATAACACTCTCCTCTTCCCCTCCTGCTCCAGAGGGTTGAATACACCTCCCAGTGCAGGTAGAACACCTTGTGCCTCCTGGGGAATGCAAACACAGAGCACTGGAAATCACTGAGAATCACTTTACTCTATTGGCCACTCAGCACTTGATGTTAAGTGACTACATTATAGGCAAAATGTTATTATTATTCATAAAGCCTTGCTAAAAAATAAAAAAAAAAACACCCAAAAACCCCTGCCAGGGTTCTGTATTTTGGTGCCTCTGGAAGCTGATGGGTTATTTATCCTGAGATTAATGAGCAGAGCCTTCCCACTGACAGGGAAAAAAAAAACAACCCTCTGAGATCTGAGTGTATTAATAACATGATTCAGTGTCTTTTCAATCAAGAGCTCCATCAATTTGGAATAAATTTCCAATTCATTTCCAAACTCTCTCAGAGCTTTTATTTATTTTTTTTATTTTTATTGCCTTTCCAAACAGCTGGAGAAAAGCACTTGCCCAGGTCTCCTTGCACTTGGTATCCTGCCTCATTTGGGGCTTTTGTTCTTCCTCTGGTTAGGTTTGAGATGCTTGTCTAAAACAGGAGCAGCTCAGAGAATCCAGGGAGGGTTTATTAGATTGGATTATAGGGTCTTACTTGATTCCTTCAAATGGAAAAATAAGGGGTTTGGGGCTTTCAAACACAAAAAAAAAATGTGCTTACTGGATTAGAATTTGCATTTTTGCAGCTCTGTTTAATGTAAATGATTCTTGCATGTGCCAGTTCCAGCCTCAGCAGAGGGGGAAGCTCTTGACATGTCTCGTGCTGCTGAATTTCCTCCACAATGCAATGAGGAATTAGGCAGATCTGCCACCAAAATCAGGCATTTCTGATCATGGACATCAGGGCACCCTCACCCCAGTGATTCCTGAAGATTCACAGTGGGTTGAGGGGTTGGAATGGACCTTGGAGGTTGCTGAAGGTTTCATCCAACCTGGAATGAACATCACCAGGGTTGGGGCAACCACAGCCTCCCTGGGCACCCTGTGCCAGTGTCTCACCACCCTCACAGGGAAGAATTCCTTCCCAATAACCAACCTAAACTTCCCTCCTTCAATTTATCCCCATTACTCCTTGTCCTATCACTGCAGCTCCTAACAATCATGGGATGTTGAGGGGTTGAAATGGATCATCCAGCCCCAACCCCATGGGCAGGGACACCTCCGAGCAGAGGACACCGGGACACCTCAGAGGCTGCTCAAGGATTTATCCAACCTGTCCTTGAACACTGCCAGGGTTGGGGCATCCAACCTTCTGAGTGTGTGACCAGACTTGGAGGTGACTGGAAATAAGGACCAGACCCCAAAGTCTCTTCCTATCCAACACCTCAGTCCAGATGTTGCCATGAACCTGAACAACCCCAACCCCCTTTACACCACCCTGGTGCACCCAGGCTGCTCAAGGATTTATCCAACCTGTCCTTGAACACTGCCAGGGTTGGGGCATCCAACCTTCTGAGTGTGTGACCAGACTTGGAGGTGACTGGAAATAAGGACCAGACCCCAAAGTCTCTTCCTATCCAACACCTCAGTCCAGATGTTGCCATGAACCTGAACAACCCCAACCCCCTTTACACCACCCTGGTGCACCCAGGAGCAAAGAGACGATGCTCATCATCTAACACCTCCGGTGAGATGAGCCCTGCAGGTGTTTGGGAAGAGCTGAGACTCCTGGCTGGAATTCTGGGGACACCAAAGCAGGTCAGGGGGGCTGTGGGAGAGGAGAGGTACCTTCACATTCCGGCTGGGTGCCGCTCCAGGAGCCGTTGGCTTGGCAGGTCCTGTCAGATGAGCCCCGCAGGGTGTAGCCAGGCTCACAGCTGAACCTCACCACACTGCCCACATCAAAGGCCTCTCCCAGCCCAATGCCATGGGAGGGGATCCCTGGGTCACCACACACGCCCTGGCTGCCTCCTGTGGAGAGAGAGCACAGTGTCACCAGTGAGCAAGAGGTGGGTTTGACTCTTCTTCCTCCTGAAAGGGCCAACACTGATCTGCAGGTGTGACTGACTCTATTTGACTCAGGCAGGTTAATGGTTGGATTTGATGATCTTAGAGGTCTCCTCCAACCTTGATGGTTCCAACTCTGATCCATATGCTCTAGGATGACTCTGCTTGAGTAGGGAGGTTGGACCAGATTGTGGTCCCTTCCAACTTAACTGATTCTGTGACTGGTTCCCAGCAGAGCAGGGAAACTCCAGATGGAACATCCCCTGACTCCAGGAACCCACTGGTTTTGAGCTGTTTGCCAACTATGCCCATAACTCTTGGATACCAAACGAGGTCTCCTCCAACCTTGATAATTCTATGGTTTAGAGGTTATAGCAGTAAAAGGCTAAAGGTTGGACTTGTTGACCTTGGAGGTCTCCTCCAACCTCAATGATTCTATGGTTTAGAGGTTATAACAGTAAAAGGCTAAAGGTTGGATTTTTTGACCTTGGAGGTCTCCTCCAACCTTGATGATTCTATGGTTTAAGGGTTACAGCAGTGACTTGATGATCTCAGAGGTCTTCTCCAACCTCAATAATTCTATGGTTTAGAGGTTACAGCAGTGACAGGTTAAAGGTTGGATTTGATGATCTTAGAGGTCTCCTCCAACCTTGATGGTTCCAACTCTGATCCATATGCTCTAGGATGACTCTGCTTGAGTAGGGAGGTTGGACCAGATTGTGGTCCCTTCCAACTTAACTGATTCTGTGACTGGTTCCCAGCAGAGCAGGGAAACTCCAGATGGAACATCCCCTGACTCCAGGAACCCACTGGTTTTGAGCTGTTTGCCAACTATGCCCATAACTCTTGGATCCCAAACGGAGCCTCCACCAGCTGCAGCTGCTCCAGCATCAGTCACATGGATACTTCCCCCCAAGCAGGAATTCCAAACCACTTCAGCATACACTATTGTACCCCCAGAAGAAGGAGCTGTTGGGTTTGGAGCATAGGTGGGGAGGGATCCAGCTGAGCTACATCCACTCCTGCAGGCTGTGAGCACTCAGAGCTGTATTTTGGGGGGCAGGAGGACAAGGAGCAGCCAGAGCAGGTGCCTTGCAGGGGTTGTCCAAGCAGGTTGGAGGAATGGTCACCTCATAGCATGTTCTTGGCTTTCTCCACTAGAAATCTGTGTAAACAACCTCCAGCTCTGAGGCAGGGAAGGCCATTCCAGCTGGTAATGAAGTGCCCAGCTCAGTGCTGCCTGTGCTGGGAACAGGTACAACCTTCTCCATGCTCTGTGCAGTGAGGAACATAATGAGCATATTCATCATCTGGGGATGTGCTTCTCTGTGCAGGGAAGGGGGAGAAAGCTCCACGTTCAACACTGCCTTCCACACAATGACTTCTAGCAAAATCTTTTTATTTCAGCTTGCAAGAAATGCTGGCACACTGTGGGGATCTTCTGCACCTTTGGCAGGGATGACCCCGAGCTGTGTTCAGCCTCTTCACACTTTTGGAGCTGCTCCCCCTGAGTTTGGGGGGACACAGGAGCTTTTCCTCAAGCCTTTAGGTGGAAATCATGATTCTGAGATTCCTGAAGGGTCACCAGCCTTGGTCTCTCTCTGAGAAGTCACTCAAAATAACCACATACACACACACAGAGCAGGTGTCAGCAGGATCCAGGCACAGCAATGCTGAACACCTCCCAAAACCCACTGAGATGACAGGAGAAGACAGTGACAACCACACAGGGGAAAAGGCATGAATTGGAGCAGAAAACCTGAGCAGCTCCAGCCCAAGAACTGTGCAGACACTGCCGAATCTGAGGATGACTCCATTTCCTTCCTCCTTCCAAAGCAGAGGTTAAACTTGGTCAAGTGGAGCTGCTAAATCTAAGTGGCAGAATGAAAAATTAACACTTGTCCCAAAAAGCTTTGCTGCAGCTCCGTTCTTGTGTCACCTGCATGTGTGTTCTCCAAGGAATGAGCCCTAGCATGGCTTGGGGAGGGCTTTGCACAGCATCCTGCCAACCATCCAGCACCTTCTGCTGGAATCCACCAGCTCACACCCTCAGCCCAGGGAGGTTTGGCCAGCACATCTCATTGCCTCCCCCAAGATTTTGACCCAAGTCTCATCAGGGTCTTTGTTTTTTGGTTGCTCAGGATGTTCTCAGTGCAAGACTTTCCTCACACAGGAGTAGAGATGGACTTGTGCTGCCAAGCTGCTCTCCATGGAGATGCTGCTGATGTGGAAACTCATTGTCCCAACTTCCACTTAGACCTGGGAGTGCTGTGGTGCTGGAAGAGCAGCTGTCAGGCTCTGGAAAAGGGCCATGTGGGTTTCTTTGATTGCCATGCAGGAGGAAGAGGCTCAGATGCTGCAGCCAGGATGCAAGAACCCAAATCTGCATACAACACATCCATCCTGCAGAGGCTCTGCAGGGAGAAATCCAAAGCAGCAGGCTGCAGCTCACCTCCCACCACAAACATTTGCTGCAGTGATGTATTTCTCCTCTTGCAAGCTGAGTGCTTCCCTCTCTGCCAGTGCTCAGCAGCCAAGTTGCAGGAGCCTGGAGGGCTGAGAGTGACTTTCAGTCCTCTACAACCTCTCTCTGTTTGTGTGTTTCTCCAGCTCAGAGCCCATCAGGTTCCCTCTCCCAGGGGCAGCATAGAATCCTAGAATTTTAGGGCTTGAGATGGAGCTTAGAGATCACCTAGTCCAACTATCTAGTTGGGCAGGGACACCTCCCACCACCAGAGCAGGCTGCTCAAGGCTTCATCCAACCTGGCTTTGAACATCACCAGGGTTAGGGTACCAACATCCTCCCTGGGCAACCTGTGCCAGTGTCTCACCACCCTCACAGGGAAAAACTTCTGCCTAAGATCTAGCCTAAATCTCCACTTGTGTGAGTGCTGTTAGGGAAGCAGATAAGGATCACATCAGCCAAGTTCACTACCTGAAGCAGCTTTTGGATGGGGGAATGGAGATCTCATCGCTTTGTCTTATAAAACTCTTTGGCATCTTGGAGTCTTGGCTCCTTCCAAGTCTTTACTTGGCCTAAATCATAGAATTTTAGGGGCTGGAATGGAGCTTAGAGATCATCCAGCCCCAACTCCATGGGCAGAGACACCTCCCACTAAACCCGGTTGCTGCTCAACTTGGCTTTGAACACTGCCAGGGTTGGGGCAGCCACAGCCTCCTTGGGCAACCTGTGCCAGTGTCTCACCACCCTCACAGCAAAAAAACCCTTCCTCCTAGTATCTCATCTCCCTCTTTCAATTTCTCCCCATCCCTGCGGTGATACTGGTATGACTGGGGGGTGGCACTGGGATGATACTGCAGTTCCTGACCCAGACTCCCTCCCCAAGGCCAGAGGAAGGTGTTTTTGCCCCGTGCCCCCCTGGCAGGGCAGCTGACCTGAGCAGTGTGGCAGGGAGCCGCTCCAGCGTCCGTCCAGTTGGCACATGCGGGTGGAGTTGCCGACCAGTGTCCTCTTGCCGAGGCAGCTGTACCTCACCACGGAGCCCACAGTGTGCTTGTCCCCTGAGATCTGGGCATGGGGTGGGGAGCCAGGGTGGCCACAAGACACCACTGCAAAACACAGGTCCGACAGCTTCAGCCACGAGGGAAACACAAAGGGGTTTGGGTTGGAAGAAACCTTAAAGTACATCTCGTTCCAACCCACCTGCCATGGACCAACCTTCCACTAAGGTTGGTTCAAGCCCCATCCAACCTGGCCTTGAAGACCTCAAGGGATTGTATTTGTTTAAAGACAAGCAGCAGGTACAAAGTGCTGTGTTTGAGGTCACTACACAGGATTTTGGCAGCTTGAACACTCATCTAGTTGAGTTGACACCTAGTTCACAAAGTGGTGATCGCTCAAAGGTTGGATTCAATGATCTTCATAAATATACAGAGTTGGAAGGGACTCTTGAGGATCATTTAGTCCAACTAGACCTCTTTGAGGTCTTTCCAACCTAAATGATTCTGTGATCTACCCCAGAGCCCACCAAGCACTGGTGGCTCATGGTGCAGGTGTAGCACATCAGACCTGGAATTGTTCTCCTTCTGAGCTCATCTCTGCAAGAACTGCCAAGATTTGGTGCCTAAGCACCTAGTCCTGACCCTTCCAGGCATTTTGCATGTGGCTTGGAAGAGGTTGGATTCAATGACCTTCAAGGTCCTTCCAACCAAACTGTGATCCACCCCAGAGCCCACAGAACACTGGTGGCTCATGGTGCAGGTGTAGCACATCAGACCTGGAATTGGTCTCCTCCTGAGCTCATCTCTGCAAGAACTGCCAAGGTTTGGTGCCTAAACACCAAGCCCTGACCCTTCCAGGCACTTTGCAGGTGGCTTGGAAAAACTCATCCCTTCTCAACCCTATTTCCCTGCAGAGCCTCCCGCACCACCGAGCTGTGATCGATGCCACGTCACACCTGAGCAAACCCTCCTGGCTGGAGCACTGCCTGCAAACCCCTGCACTAACCATAATTAATAGGTTTATTTTAGAGAGCAGCCAGGGAAGCTGCTGCCAAACACCCTGACAGGGGCTGTCAGACAGCTTGGGCCGTTGGGCCACGCACCACTCGCTTTGGGAGGGGAAGAGTCTGGAACAGGTATCTTCTCTCTCTCTGCTAGAGGCTAAAAATACCAGTGCATTAGGTAGAAAAAACATGATGTATGCTGCAATAAAAAGCAGGGCACGAGTGTGGTTGGGCACGTGGGTGGTGAAAGATGCTGGTGCAGAGCTGTGAGTGAAACCAAGGACACTGCACGGGGCTTTGAGAGCTAATGCTTAAACTTGGGAGGCTGCAAAGAACAATTTAGCACCAGCTCCTCCAGCAGACTCAGCTCAGCTTGGACCTGGTGGCAATACAGGTTTTGAAAGGATTTATGGCCACTGAAGGCTGTTCCTGCTGCTGCCTTAGGCTCTGCTCCTGTGGACTTCACTTATTGGGCTTGCTCTCCCATCATAGAACAGAATCATAGAATTCTTGCTCTCCCATCCCTCTGAGGGATCAGCTCTGCTTCATTCTCTCCTCAGAAAGTGGCACCAGAGACCATCCCCAATCCAAGCTTGGCTGGCATCAGTTTCTCACTGTTTTCTAAGAGGTGTCTAGTAATTTTAGGTGCCTGGTTATAACCCCTGGGAAGGGATTTGGGTTTCAGCACTGAACACAAGTTCATAGAGTCATGGAATGGTTTGGGTTGGAAAGGACCTTAAAGGCTTCAAAATCTCCTCTGAAATCACAGGTGGCAAGAGAGAAGGGATTGTTTGAGCTCCTTTTCTTCACAGAATGTTAGAGAGTTATAGGATCACAGAATGGTTTGGGTTGGAAGGACCTTAAAGATCATCCAGTTCCATCCCCTGCCATGAGCAGGAACATCTTCTACTAGCTCAGGTTGCTCCAAGCCCCATCCAACCTGGCCTGGAACACTCCCAGGGATGGAGCAGCCACAGCTTCTCTGGGAAATCCATTCCAGTGCCTCAACACCCTCTGAATAAAGTCCAACACACATCAAACAAACCCATACAAAAAAAATCTCTTTACCTTAAAACTATGACCCAACGAATCCACATCACCAGGTGTAAAACTGACCTGAGTTCCCAAAGGTGTCAGAGTGCCCACAAATTCTCCAAGTCACACTCAGCACTTTAAGGCAGGAGATCCCTTGGGCTCAGCAGGAGAGCTGTGGGCTGAGTGAGTCTGGGCTATCAGCTCCAAGGTTGGAGCAGATAAGTCCCCCCTGGAGTCCCCAAGGTTGTGGTGACTTGGGCCATCACTTGTCAATTCCCCAGTGCAAGGTGCTGCAATGCAGGACGTGACATGCTGCTAGCAAAGGGAAAGGAAACGTGCCCAAAGCTCCTTGGCATGACTAGGTGCTGGGGGATGATACAAAGAACGAAAAAAAAAGCAACAACCATGGCTTTGGAACAGCTTAAGGCAATTCAAATGTCAGGAGCTCCATTTATGCCAGGGAATGGGATTGCAGCTATTTACTGTCCAAAAGGCCAAACTGCCTGTGCTGGGGGTTGTTCTGCCAGGGGTTTGCTCCTGTCTGCACCTCCAGCTCAGGGACAAGCAGCTGAAATACACTTTGGACTTTGATTTCCCTCAGTGTAAGACATCAGGACATCACCACTGGCATCTCCCTACACTGCCTGGAGAGCTGCACTGGGTCTTACCCAAACCCACCATGAGCATTTTGTGTCTTCCCACACTATTGGAAACACTCCTTAAGCCAAACCATCCCCTACAACCTCCCAGTTCCAACCCCAGTGACAGAAGGGATTGGGACACTGGGAAAAACAGGGATAAGCATTGAGCTGAGGGTGAGGAACCTCTTTAGCACCTGTTTGCAGCAGAATGAACTCAGTCTGTGTTTCCTTCAGTGTCACCTCCCTGCCCTGAGGCTGCAGGGATGAGTGGCAGTGAGGGGATGAGTGGCTGTGTCCTCACTCAGCTCAGCTGCATGGTCCTTCCTAGGTGGCTTTGTGCTCCCTTTTCCACGTGCAAAAATTTTCCTGGAGCTGCTTGGAACCCCTAAAACTCTGCAGGATCTCCTTTCCCCTACAAAGACAAACCACCTCCGATGGGATTTCTTCTCCTCACACCACAACTCTCTCTCCTGTGGGCAGAACCTTGATACTCCTGAAGCTGCTGGAAGGATTCCCATGGATTCTCAACTGCTTTATTCTCACATGGAGCTAAGCAAGCCAAACCTCCCCCGAGGCTGAACCCTGGGCTAGGTGGGGATGATGCTGAAGCACTTACAAAGACACTGTGGGAGGGCACGGTCCCAAGTGCCATCCCCCTGACAGGTTAGGACATGGGTACCCAACAGGTAGTATCCATGGCTGCACTGATAAGAGACAGTTGTTCCAAAGCTGAATCTGTGAGGACCACTCGGCTGCACTTGCCGGATGCTGTTTTCCAGGTGCCCAGGGTCAGAACAGTTTACAACTGCAAACAAACAACAACAAAATAATGCCAACTCAAGGGGGGAACAGAGAACAAAGGAGTCTCCAAAGAGGAGCAGGGAAACGGGGAGAAATGGCTAATCATACATGCCACAATTGAATGGGTTTTTTTCTTTTTTTTCCCCGCTGTGGTTTGTTTTTTTTTTTTTTTAGGTGGGAAGAGAACAAATCCTTAGTGAAAGGAATAAAAAAAAAGGCAATTTTCAGGCTCTGGCCTGGCCATGTGAGGCTCAGCAGCTCAGCTTGGATCTCTGGGTCCAAAGTGGGACTGTTCCAGGTGGGAATAACTGATCCCAAACCAGGACATACATCATTCAGTTGGAAAAAAACTAAACTGAGCTATACATCATCCAGTTGGGAATAACTGATCCCAAACCAGGACATACATCATTCAGTTGGAAAAAACTTATCCTATCCCGAGCTATACATCATCCAGTTGGGAATAACTGATCCCAAACCAGGACATACATCATTCAGTCGGAAAAAAACTATCCCAAACTGAGCTATACATCATCCAGTTGGGAATAACTGATCCCAAACCAGGACATACATCATTCAGTTGGAAAAAACTTATCCCAAACTGAGCTATACATCATCCAATTGGGAATAACTGATCCCAAACTGGTTTGTACATCATTCAGATGGAAATAACTTAACCCAAACCAGGACATATAACATCCAGTTGGAAAAAACCTGATCCCAAACTAGAACATACATCACCCAGTTGGGAATAAGTGATCCCAAACTAGGACATACATCATCCAGTTGGAAAAAACTGGTCCCAAACTGGGACATGTATCATCCAGTTGGGATTCATTCATTCCTTGATTGACACAGCCACAGTGTGGACAGAGCTCATGGATTAAGGGAGTACAGAGGGAGGGAGTGCAGGGACAGGAGGGAATTGGCTAAGTGAACCTGAGTACTGATCCCAGTGGAAGTTGGGCAGCTTAGAGGGGAGAGATTCTGCTCAGAGCTGTGGTGGTTGATCTGGTAACTGCTCTAGGGTGACCTGAGGAGAGTCTGGCTTGGTGTTTTTCTTGTGTCCTCCCCACTTACAACACACACTTCAATGTCTTGGAGGATGCAGAGCTGGGCAGAGTCCACTAAGAGTCTGGAGAGAAGCCCAAGGGGAAAATCAGCTTTGTTGCATGAGTTTTAGACCAGCCCTTGGAGCTCAAGCATTGCTTGGAGCTCAAACAGCACTTGGGGCTCAAACATCCTCTTGGAGCTCAAATGTCACTTGGGGCTCAAACAACCCTTGGAGCTCAAACATCTCCTTGGAGCTCAAATGCCACTTGGGGCTCAAACAACCCTTGGAGCTCAAACATCTCCTTGAGGCTCAAACATCCCCTTGGACTTCCTGAGGGACTCCAAGACTTGCTTTACATGAACTTCTGGATTCTAGGAGCTGAGAGGAAGCCCAGAGGAAGGCACAGAGCACCCCAACATGCACGGGGAGGGAGGACTCACCACGGCAGGCAGGCAGGGTGCTGCTCCACTGGCCGTTGGCCAAGCACTGGGACTGGGCTGCTCCTTCCAGGCGATACCCAGTGTTGCACACAAACTTGGCCACATCGTTCAGATTGAATTGAGTTCCTTGGGTCAAACCATTGGCAGGGTTGCCAGGGTGGCCACAAGTGATGGCTACAAGCAGAAAGTGGAGATATTACCTTTGTGTTTTGCTCCTGGAAGAAAGTGGATTATCCATCGGGAAACGTTCTCAAGGCAGGGAGAGCAAAAACCCCCAACATTGATTCTGAATTCCACACTGACTCACACCATAAATCCCTAGAGCTCCTCTTCAAACCTCTCAGCTCCTGCTACTCATGCTGAGCATCACCATGAGCATCACCTACACCATCAGGGCACTTGCTGCTCCCCTCCCTCTCCCTCATTCCAGTCAGGTTTCTGCTCACTGCACTATCAAGTTACACCTGGAGAAAGAGTTAAAAGAGAGAAAAAAATGTGGGGAAAATCAGGTTTGAGTTCATATGAATGAGATGAAAAATAGGGCCTGAATTAAGTGGGAAAAACTGGGGGAAAAACCTGCATTTCCAAATCCCTGAAGTGAGGAATTTTTTGTTGTTCCTGGGGCTGATGTTGGCTTGAGCTAGGGATGAGGTGAAAGGGAAGGACCGGGGGAGGGGGGAAGGACCAGGTGGAGGGGGAAGGACAGGGATGAGGATCCTGTCTGAGTTGCTCAGGGAAGAGGAGAGGCAAAGGCTGGAGACAATTCCAGAATCCAAAATGCTTTTGAGCAGAGCCTGGATCACTGCTGGCACCTCAGCAGGGGCAGGTGACACTGGGAGGACACAGGGAATACACATCCTGCTGCCAGCAGAGCCTGGAGCTCTTGGATCTCAGCTCAGCATACACCACAAAGAGCTTTTTGGGCTGTTTAAGGAATTGTGACATCCTCCAGCAGCTGAGGACAAAGCCACATCGATTATTGTCATGCTGAAACTGGGGAATGGCCCATCAGCCCCAGCTCAGCACTTTGCCTGTACAGCTGCCAACACCAGGAGAAGCTTGAGGGGGAGATGAAATTCCCACAAAAGATCCATAACACATTTGACTGCCAAAGCTGGACTGTGCCACAGGGATGGGGATTTATTCCTTATGCAAGTTGGTGACAGCTACAGGGCTGAAAAAATAGGGAAGGCAGCTCAGCTTGCAGAGCTGCAGGTGTCAGGTGCTCTGAGCTGCCTCTCAATGCCATGAGACATGTTTTGAAGCTGCTGATGGATTCTGTCCCAGAAAAAAAAAATAAAATAGGCTTCCCACAGTTGTATGGATCAAAGAGAGCTGCTCAGACAGAGGAGCAACTGCAGCAGGTTTCAAGAGAAAATAGCAGGACAATGGGAAATGCTAATGTGCTAACAAACACCATGCCCTGAGCTGTGGGGGCTGTGAGGACACCCTGAGGCTTCTCATCTCAGAACCCACCAGAGCTCTGATTAATCATGGCAAATTGATGCTGCCCACAAGGCCTAATGCTGGGGGATAACTTCGAATCCTGGAATGGTCTGGATGGGAAGGGACCTGAAGGTTCATCTCAGCCCACCCCTTGCCATGGGTACCTTCCACTGTCTCAGGTTGCTCCAAGATCCATCCAACTTGGCCTGGAACATTCCCAGGGATGGAACAACCACAGCTGCTCTGGGCAACCTGTGCCAGTGTCTCAGCACCTCCCAGGGAAGGATTTCCCCCCGGTATCCCATCTAACCCTTCCCTCTGTCAATTTGAAGCCATTCCCCCTTGTCCTGTCCCTCCAGGCCCTTGGAATAGTGTCTCTCCATCTTTCATGCAGCTCCTTCAGGCACTTCAAGGCCACAATTAGCTACCCCACAACTTCTCCTCTCCAGGCTGAACAATCCCAATTCTTTCAGCCTTTCCTCACAGCAGAGGTTCTCCATCCCTCTCATCATCTTGGTGCCTCCTCTGGGGGCACTTCAAGGCCAACTTCTGCACATGAGACACCTTTACAGGCACAGAAGCCTGATGAGCTCTCAGGTGCTCAAGTCACAGAGACAACAAAACCATTGCAGAGGAACCACCCAGTGCTGGTCCTCTGCCAGAAGACAGGGCCAGATGAGCAATGTTCACCTGCTTTGTTCTGCAGGGTTTGGTCCCTCCCAGAAGAAACAAGCCATGAAAATGGATGTTGAGGACATCCTGCATTTCCATCCAGCTGCCTGGCAGCAGCAAGAGCCTCTAGCAATATGATTTCCTCCTCCCAGGTTGGTGTGGAAGGACTTGGCAGGTAAAAGTGAGTTAAAGCTTTTCACCAGAGCATCCTCTGGCAGGAAAGTAAATTCCAACCCACAGACTCAGGGACATCCCTTTCCAATCATTCTTTCCCCCCAAACCTCCTGCAGAATCACAGATATCCTCCAAAGTTGAGTCACTGCTAACCTTGACAACTTAATCCTGTTTCCTGTGGGTTATTTTTAGGCTGGAACCTGCATATTCCCAAATAGGTCATTCCTTACTTCATCTCTTACTGTGCACAGAAAGCTCCAAAAACCAGAGAGGAGAGATTGGAACAAACAACTGGAGAACCACGATACGAAATCCACGGACTGCACTGCCCATTGATAAGGAGATGCTTAAACTTCTTAACACCTTAGAGCCCCAGAGACTTGGTTAATTAGCTTCTTTGCTGGAGAGATAAATGAGCAGGTTGCACAAGGTGACTTGTGGATGTGGAGGGAGTGAGACTGACTTTGTCTTTCCTTCAGCATGGAGTGTGAGTCTCAGGGATGGTGACAAGCACGGTGTGCTTAGCAGGGATCTGTCTGCATTTAATCTCCTCTGACCCAAAAAAGGTTCTCTCCTGTGCACCTACACCTTCTGCTG